GGGAGCAGCCTGGGACAGTGGAAAGTGGGATTAGGGATCTTAAAAGTCCCTTCCCAGCCAAAGCATTCCATGATTCCCCAGTTCCTCAGCCCGCTGAAAGTTTGTTTGCCTTTTATTCCCTCGATATTCCACCACCGGCTCCAGCAAAGGCAAGGAGAAGACCAAGGAGCACAAGTAGGTTTGCTCTCCCTGCTCTTCTTCCTCCTCCTCTTCATTCCCACTTTTCCAGCTCATCCTGTTGGTTTGCTCTCCCTCCTCCTCCTCTTCATTCCCACTTTTCCCAGCTGATCCAGCTGCTGTGCTCTCCCTTCCTCTAAAGCCAGACCTGTCCACCCTGGAAAAACTTGGCTCTCATGGATGTGTGGCCTCAGGTTTTGGAGCTTGCAAAAAAAAAACCCAACAAAACCAAGGAATATTTATCCAGCAAAATCTTTGGAGCCTGGCAGTGCCTGAAGGGAGCTGAGAGGTCCTGAGGGAAGGCTGGATCCACATGGATTGGATGGAGGGAATTTCCAGCCTGGACATGGAGAAGTCTGGGTGCAGACAGGACTTAGATCCGACTTTTCCCTGGATATCAGGCAAAGATTCTTCCCCCAGGGCCAGTTTGGATTTGGAACGGCTCCTGAGGGAATGGTGACATTCCAAGAGCTCCAGGAGTGCATGGATAGGGTTAGGGTGGGACTGCTGGGGTGTCCTGGGCAGGAGTTGGATCAATGATCCCAATGGGTCCTTTCCCACTCGGGAATTTCGTGATTCCGTGATCCAACAGCTCCTGTGCCCACATTGGGCTGCCGGGTTCTGTTCAGCTCCTGCCTTCCTGTTATTCCCAGCTCTTTTCATGGATACCAGCCCGGGCTGTTCCCCCAAAATCCTGATCCTCTGGCTCTGCTGGAGCAGCTCAGCTCAAATTTAAACTCAGCTCCAGTGAATGATCCTGGAATCACCCCCTCCCTATCCGAGTCGTCTCTCCTGGCTCCTATTCCTTCTTTTGTGGTTTAAGGATCGATTCATGGCACATCCCATGGATGGATCCTCCCGAATAACGGGATGAGGTGGAGAAAGAGGGGACATGTCCTCAAGGAGAGGGCAGAGTGGGGAAAAATGGGAAGAGATTTCCCAACTCTGGTCCCTCCTCTGGGAAGAGGCACAAAGGGATTGAGGATTGGGATCTGCCCAAGGGTGCAGGATGAACCCAGCAGCGACGTCCGGCCCTTGGAAGAACGGGAGGAATTCCTGCCAGGAAATGAGCCCTGGGAATGCTGCTCCCAGTAAAAGGCAGTGATTAAAATGTCCTTTTACCCATGGATAATTCATGGATCTTTAACTGGAAGCTGGCCAGGAGAGAGGCTGCTCCCAGCTCCCTGCTGCGGCTCCAGAATCCCTGCGGATTCTGGAGATTCCCCACGAGCGAAATCCTAAAGGACGAAAGGTTTGTGGAAGCAGAGACAATCCCTGCTCAATCCCAGAAAATCCATGGGAAGAGCATTTCCAGAGGCTGGGTGGAGTCCGTGGTGTCCAATACCGATTTAAACTTCGCTGGAAATCCATCCCAACTTAGGGTTGGCACCAGGACGTTCCGATGCCCCGAATTTGCCGGAACGCGGGCGGGATGTGACGGATGCGGAGCCTCGGTTCTTTGGGATAACGGGAGAAGGACGACGGCGGCTGCTGCTGCCCTGGGAGGGCTCAGGTTCCGCAGGATCCTCATGGAATATTCATGTGGAGACGGTGTCAGCTCTCCGCCAGCCCCCGGCTTCCCACCGGGAGCAGCGGAAGGGATCGGCAAGATCCCACCAAGCCCCCGGAGGGATTCCCCCCATCCATCCCTGCTGGGATGGGGCTCCCACCATAGAGGCTCCTCCATTCCCACCTCAGCTCTTCCAGAACCTTCTCCTGCAGGCCCGGGGGGGAGGTAGGAGCCGGGATGGGAAGGGGGAGGTGTTTGGGGTTGGGCAGGGCTCGCCCAGAGTGGGAAAGGCACGGCCGGGGATTGGGAAGGGGTTGGGGATCGGGATGAGCCACTGGGAAGCTGCTCCAGGACTTTTGGGATGGCTCCGTCCTCATCCTCACCCTGATCCTTCCCTTCTTCCCAGCATCCACCAAAATCCGCCAAAATCCTCTGCTTCAGAATTTATGTCTTTGTCTCTTTTTTTTCTCTTATTCCTTTTTTCCTCTATTTTTCCTATTTTGTTTTTTATTTTCCTTTTTTTCCTCCCCTCACTTTTCCTGGTGCTTTTTCCTGTTTGTTTGGAGGGTTTTTTTTCCTGCTTTGTCCTCAGCATTTTTTTTTTTATCCCAACAGTTTTCTTTCCCCACTTTTTTTATTTCCTTTATTTATTTCCCATTTTCCCCCTACTGATTCCTCCTGGGATTTCTTTCCCAAATTTTTCTGAGTAGTTTTCCTTTTTCTTTTTTTCCTGCTTTCCCCCTGTTCTTCCCCCCATGACCCCTTTTTAGTTTCCTTCTATGGTTTGGGTTTGGGGTTTTTTTTCCCTGCTAATTCCTCCTAGGGATTTTTCCTAATTTTTTCTGTTTTTTTCCCTTTTTCTTTCCTGTTTTCCCCCCTCATTCTTCCACCTCCATTTTTTCCCCGTTTTTTCTCCTCCACTCTTCCCTCCCCATTTCTGCTTCACAGTTTCCCCCATTTTTTCTCCCAGTTTCTTTTCTTCCCTATTTCTCCCCTCCATTTTTTTTTCATTTTCCTCCTTTCTTTTCCCTTTCTTCTTTACTCATTTTACATTTTTTCCTTTTTTCCTTTCCCCCTCTTTTCCTTATTTCCCCTTTACCCATTTTATTCTTTTTTTGCTGCTTTTCCCAATTTTTCTTTTCCCCTTTTTCCTTTTAACCCTTCCCCCCTCTTCTTTTTCCCTTTTCCCCCCCCCTCTTCCTCCCTTCTTTCCCCCTCTTTTCTTTCCTTTCTTTCTCTTCCCCGAGCACCCTCAGGTGCCTCAGAAATTCCTGGGACACGGATTTTATCCCTGAGCATCCACGAGCAAATGGCAGCTCTGGGACTGGAGGGGATTTCTTTTGCTCTCCATTTTTAATAATTTAATAAAAAAAAAAAAAAAGAATGCAATCCAACCAGAGGAGGGATGGAATGGAATTCCATGGGGGAATCTCCATGGCAGAGAGTGGTCTGGGAGCAGAATTCCAGACTGCAACATTTCCTCATCCAATAAATAAATCCAAAAACAGCTCCCAAAGGTCCCATCCCCTGGGATGTTTCCTGGTGGGATTCCAGATACAGAATCCTCATCCTTACCTTTTCTCCTCCTATCCATGGAAAAACTGCACCATCATGGAGCATCCTGGGAATAAAGCACAGCTCCCAGAGGCCGGAGTGTGGCTTTAGTCCCAGGTTTAAATAGTTCCTGGATCTGATCCCACTTGGATTCCCCTCCCTCAGGCACGTTATTTTCCCATTTTCCTTAATTTTCTTCCTGCTTTCTCTGGCTTTCTCTGTGGCCTGCAGATTGCTGGAGGTCACTTCCAACCAGGACAAACCAGGCTGGAAGCAATTCCAGAGTTTCTTTGGCCTTGGGAGAAAAAAAAAAAAATCCCAAGGGTAAAACTTCCAGAGGTGAGAGTGGGGAAATCCCCCAGGTTCCCTGCGGGCAGCACAGCCCAATCCTGCAGAATCCAGGAGCTCTGGATTCCCTGGCCTGGCAGGCAGGTACAGGTGAGATCCAGGCTGGAAGTGAGGTCCAGGCTGGAAGAAGTGAGGTCCTGGTTGGAGCTGAAGCAGGAAATTAGATTTGGGTTGGAGTTGAGGAAAAGTCAGGATTGGAGGTGACTTTTTGTCCTGGCTGGAAGTGGATCCCAGTTTGGAGGTGAGGCCCAGCTTGGAGGAGGTGCCAAGGCTGGAGGTGAGTTCCCAACTGGAGGTGAAATTCATCTTGGAGGTGAAGTCCAGACTGAAGAAGAGGAAAAGTCCAGTTTGGAGGCCGGAGGGGGGTCCCAGTTTGGAGGTGAAGTCCAAGCTGGAGGTGAGTTCCAGGCTGGAGGTGAAGATAATCTTGGAGTTTAGACCTGGGCTGTAGGAAAGGTCCAGCCTGGAGGTGAATTCCAGCCTGCAGGGCTCATCTTGGAGCTAAAACCTGGGCTGGAGGTGAGGTCCAGGCAGGTGAAAAAAGGTTAGGGCTGGAGGTGGGGTTCTGACAGGAAATTAGATCTGAGCTGGAGCTGAGGTGAGGTCCTGATTGGAAGTTGGATCCAGGCTGGAAGTGAGGTCCTGGCAGGAGGTGAAAAAAGGTCCCAGTTTGGAGGTGAGGTCCCAGTTTGGAGGTGAGGTCCCAGTTTGGAGGTGAGGAAAGGTCCAGCCTGCAGGTGAGGTGTGATCCTGGTGTGATAACTTCCAAGAACATCTGCAGCAAAGGTTCCCCCACTTCCAGTGATGGGAATTCTCCAATTAAAAAACGTCCTCCTGTCACGGGGGAATCTGAATTTTGGGTGTCTGGAGTTTTGGGGTCCTGGAATTCTGGACTCTTTGAATTTTTGGGTGTTTCATTTTTAGTCGTTTCATTTTCTGGTGTTTTGGAAAGAAATTCCATGAACTGGTCAGGAGAGCTGAGGAGTGGGAACACAACTGGGACTGCCAGCAAGGATTCTGCTCGTGGGGAGGCAGAATTATCCCAAACTGAGGCATTCCCAGATAAAAAATGGAATCCAATTTTTTTATCTGGCAATGGGATATGGGAATATCTCATTCCCAGATTAAAATTTCTGGGGATATATCCCAGGGATATATCTGGGAATTTATCCCAGGATAAAATTTACCAGATAAAAATTTATCTGGAATAGGAAATGGGATAAAAGTGTGAATTCCACTGCTATCCTGGCTCTGCCTCTGGAATATTTCCCGCTCTGTTTTCCAGCTGACATTCCCTTTTTTCCTTTTGGAAAAAACCTTCTGTTCCCACCTCCCACATCATAGAAAACACTAAAACACAGCAATTAACGGGAATAATTTTTTTTTTTTCGCTCTCCCTCTCTTCACCCAGGGCTGGAAAAGGAGTTTTCTCAGCCATGAAGCTTGGAAAGACACGCCCGTCCAAGGATGAGCACCGGAAACAAGGTACGGGCATGGAATGATGGGGGATTCCTGGAACTGCAGCAGTGGGACAGGAAGGGCTGCCTGTTCCCTGAGCTCTGCACCCACCCGGGGCTGGAATTGGATCCCTCTGGAAAGGCAGGAGAGGGCAGCGATTGGAAATTCATTGCTGTTTCCATTCAGAGCCGAGGATCGGTTTTCCACCGCGAAGAAAAGCTGGGATGCGCGTTTACAGGAGGGGAAAAGTTGGGATCGTGGTTCTGGGAAAACTTCCCCTGTTTTCCAGCCAAGTTTGAGGATAGGAAAAGGGAATTTTGCCTGGGATGCTGGCATGGGAACTTGGGTTCTCTTCCCAGAATTTGGGTGTCCTTGTGGTTAAAGCCTCCAGCAGGACCATGGGAGAACATCCAGGATGCAGAGGTAGAACAGAGCCGTTGGTGCCATGGAAGTGTCTCCACAGGCTGGATTTATCCCTGGCCATGGAATGGTCCCTGGGGGGTGTGGGCAGTGCTGCATGGATGGGAGGATCCTGATCCCACCTTTCCCAGGAACCTGCAGCTGTCCCACACCTTCCCTGGGCTGGGATTGTGATCCTGACCCTTTGGTTGGAATTCCATCCATCCATCCATCCATTCCATCCATCCATTCCATCCATCCATCCCACTCCATCCATTCCATCCATCCATTCCATCCATCCATCCCACTCCATCCATTCCATCNATTCCATCCATCCATTCCATCCATCCATCCCACTCCATCCATTCCATCCATCCATTCCATCCATCCATCCCACTCCATCCATTCCATCCATCCATCCATTCCATCCATTCCATCCATTCCATCCATTCCATCCATTCCATCCATCCATTCCATCCCGCTGGGTAAGGGGTGGGTGGATGTTCCTGCACCCACTGCCAAGCCAGCGCTCCCAGTGTTCCATGGGTGCTTCCCTCCCATCCAGACTCCTCCTTTGGGTCAGATCGAGGATCAGACCTTGGACACTTCCAGGGATGGAGCAGCCACAGCTTCTCTGGGAATTCCAGCCCAGCCCCCTCCCCACCCTGCCAGGGAACAATTCCTGCCCAAGATCCCATCCAGCCCTGCCCTGGGGCACTGGGAGCCATTCCCTGTGTCCTGTCCCTCCAGGCCTTGTCCCCAGTCCCTCTTCAGGCCCTGCCAGGGGCTCTGAGCTCTCCCTGGATCCTTCTCCTCTCCAGGTGAGCACCCCCAGCTCTCCCAGCCTGGCTCCAGAGCAGAGGGGCCCCAGCCCTGCAGCAGCTCTGGGGTCTCCTCTGGGCTCTCTCCATCCTATGCCGACAATCCCGGAGCTGGAGGCAGAAATTCCCAGCTCGTGTGACTCTGGCTCAGTTTTAATCTCCTGGCTGAGTCAAGGACTCCCTTTCCCTGAGGAAAGGAACATTCCAGCAACTTCTTCCAATAGGAACCGAGGGATGTGCCGGTGGGATCTGAGCTCCTGCAGCAGTTTTTCCTTTTGGGAATGATGCATTTCTCCCATTTTTTTCACCCCTCTCTCAAAACCAGGGGATTCGTTGTCCATGCAACATCTCTCAGATCTCCAGCTCTTCCTCAAATGCTTTCAGCCCCTGAACTCGGGGTGTTGCCATTATTCCTTATTTTTCCTTCCCAAAAGCCTCCTCAGGGATTCTACCCAGATAGAATTCCACATCATCCCTTTGATAACCCCTTTTCTGAGCAGGTTGTCCGAGACCCGACCTGGTTCCCATTGTTTTTGTGCTCCCAGCCGAGGGGTTGGATTGGTTTCCCTTCTCCCAGCCTTTAATTATTCACTGATGGAAATTAAAACCGGAGCCATTCCTTTTGTCCCCTTCCCGCAGACGATCCGGCTGTCCTGGAAACAGAAGATCTGGACAGGAAGGCCATGAGATACGGAGCAGGCCTGGAGCCAGACACCATCTCCCTGGCCTCTGTCACCGCTGTCACCACCAATGTCTCCAACAAAAGGTGAGATCCAGGGCTGGGATTGTGCCAGGCGAGGACAGACATCCCAAAAACGCCTGACCCCTGACACAGGGAATGTTGGAAATCATTGGCCCATGGGGCCTGTGGGCTGTTTTTTGGGAATATCTGACCTGCAGCAGAAATCGTCAGAGTTCTGTGGAGCTTCCCAGGGTTGAAGGAGCACTGAGGGTGATCCTGCTCTTGTGTAGGACATGGAGGGACAGGACACAAGGAATGGCTTCCCACTGCCAGAGAGCAGGGCTGGATGGGATATTGGGCAGGAATTGTTCCCTGGCAGGGGTTGGGATGGAATTCCCAGAGAAGCTGCAGCTGTCCCATCTCTGGAAGTGTCTCAGGCCAGGTTGGAACACCTTGGGATGGTGTCAGGCTCCAGATGATCCTTGAGGTGCTTCCCTACCCGAACCATTCCATGATTCCATGAATTCCACCCGTGGGTTTCTTCTGCCTCTCCCAAGGTCCAAGCCCGACATCAGGATGGAGCCGAGTGCTGGGAGGCCCATGGATTACCAGGTAGGTGACACCAGCTGTGCCCTCAGCGTCACAACCTGGGCCTGGGGACACCGTTTGCAGTCCCAACTCACTGGGCTTGGAACCAGGGAATCCCAAGAGCTGGAATTTCACTGGTGGAGCCATAAACTCAGGAATAAGTAATGGACTGGGTTTGTTGTGCAGCATGTGAAGCCCAAATTAAGCTCTCCTTGAGGTTGTCTCCATGGAATTTCTCCTTGGAGCAACCTGGGATAGCAGAATGTGTCCCTGCCCCTGGCTTTAAGGTCTTTTCCAATTCCAATCCATGATCCCATTGTGGTCTCCAGCAGAAGTGAAGATCCCAACGGGGTTGGTCTCTCTTGGTTAAATCCGTTGGATTTTCCGTGATGTGTGACACGCCCACACCCTGGGGCTGGAAGAACTGGGATTCCCGGGATTTCCTGCATCCCCCCCCCCTGCCAGCCCCTCCTCATCTGTGTCCCAGCAGGACCAGCAGGCCCCACTGCACTGGGAATTCCCTTTGGTCAGAGGTTGGGTGGGACGGGTGAAGCCATCCTGGAGCTGCTCCCGGGATTGTGGAAATTTGGGAATTGCTCTCCGCAGGTCAGCATCACCATCATCGAGGCCCGGCAGCTCGTGGGGCTCAACATGGACCCCGTGGTGTGCGTGGAGGTGGGGGAGGAGAAGAAATACACCTCCATGAAGGAATCCACCAATTGTCCTTACTACAACGAGGTGGGTCCGGCCCCGGTGCTGCTCCAACGCCGCCGCGCTACCCCGCCCTCCATCCGCTGATTTCTTTCCTATGTGTGGATTTTTGGGGTTTTTTGGGTTTTTTTTTTTTGCTAAATTCCTGCGGGAATAAGGTGAAATCTCAAACCACACGTGAGAAGCGAAGCCTTTTCCCTCTGGAATGTTGTGATCAGTGATTCCCAGGTTTCCCGAGGAATCCGCGCTTCCGTTGGCTCAGCGGGGGATGGGTGACCCCGTGCGGTGCCGCCCTGGGCGTTGGGATCACATGGATGCATCCCTGCTGGGCCAGGGGCTGCAGGAGCTCCCCCAGGCAGCCTCGGGTTCTCCAGGGGGGTTCTCAATCCCGATGGATCCCACCCCTCACGATTCCCCTTTCCCTTCCAGTATTTCGTCTTTGATTTCCACGTCCCCCCCGATGTCATGTTCGACAAGATCATCAAGCTCTCCGTAAGTGACCCCCCATGGCCTGGTCCTCGTCCTTTCTGGGGGGCTTTGGAAGTAAAAACCTCATTTTTGGGATGGGTTTAAGGTCCTTGATGTGAGGCTCCCAATAGGAATTCTCCTCTGCAGATCCTCAGTCCGTTTTCCTGTTCCAACCTTCGTTCCTGGCTCCACACAGTTCCTGCATTCCCTGTGTCCCTTCATGGGTGATTTCTGGTATTCCAGAGCCTTGGAATTCATTTATTTTTGTCGAGAAGAAAAACCTTCCTGAGCCTGCCAGAGAAATTCCTGGGGCATCAGAGCTGTTGTGGAAATCCAGGACTGGGAATGCTGAGAATAAAATTGGGATTTCAGTCCAGCCAAAACCAGGAAGGTGATGGGCAAGACTTCCAGATTCCCAGCCCAATTAATGCACATTAATTAAGATCATCCATATCCATCAGTGCACAGACTGAATGTATAATTTCTCCCAGTTTTCCTCAAATTCTGAGCATTCTAAAGGCTCTTCCCTCAGTTTGCTGTTGCAGTGGCTGGAAAAGGGATCTTGCACCAAAGATTTATTTCTTTGCATTTTTTTGTTCATCCTAAATTTAAACTTCCTGGCAATTCCACTACTCAGGAGGTGCCAATCCCAGGGGGCCTCTTGGTGTCCTTAGAATCCTCCCCAGACCAAGGAAAACTCCTCAGCTCCTTTCCCACCCGGCACTGGACACCTCTGGATTGGCTTTGCAGCTGCAGGGAAAATTCCTGAGTGGTTTTCCCCTCTTGATTTCCAGGTGATCCACTCCAAAAACCTCCTGAGGAGCGGGACGTTGGTGGGGTCCTTCAAGATGGATGTTGGGACTGTTTATACCCAGCCTGGTACGTGACTGTCGTTTGTAACCATTCCCGGGCTCAGTGGAGCAAAATTCCTGGCAAAGGAGTCAGGCAGGGGCTGGTTTCCTTGGAAAATGCTTTCCCAATTCAGTGTGAATATCCAAGATATACACAAGTCACTCTTAGTTGGGGAAGAGCACTTGGCACCTCTGGACAAGGGTCTCTATCCCATCCTGGAATTGTGGAATCACAGGATGGTTTGGGTGTGATGGGACTTGAAAGATAATTTTTTTAATCCCACCCCTGCCATGGGCAGGGACAACTCCCACTGTCCCAGAATGCTCCAAACCCCATCCAACCTTTCCTTGGACGCTTCCAGGGATCCAGGGCCAGCCACAGCTTCTCTGGGAATTCCTTCCCAAGATCCCACCCCAAGCTCCCCTTTCCCACTGGAAGCCATTCCCTGGCTCCTGGCCCTCCAGCCCTTTCCCAAATCCCAGCTCTCCTGGAGCCCCTTGAGGCTCGGGAAGCATCTCCAAGGATTCCCTGGATCCTTCCCTGATCCTGCTCTCCCAGTTGTCACTGAGATCCCTCCTGGGTGTGCTGTGTCCATCCCTGCCCTGCCGAGGGAGAAGCCCCAGGTGACATTCCCAGGCAGGACATCAACATTCCAGACAGGAATGTCCAGGACTGGGTCCTGCCCTGTATTTCCCTGGAAACGAGACAGAGATGGATTAGAGATCTGATCATCAAGCTCAACCATCCCCAGTGCTGCCAAGGCCACCACCACCGTCCCACGTCCCCAAGTGCCACATCCACACACCTTTAAACCCCTCCAGGATGGAGACTGGAGACTCCACCCCCCTCCACCTTATCCCGTTGTTCCTCCACCTCCAACACCAGGCGCCCCTTCCCAATGGGATTTTCCAGGGGTTTGCTGGGATCCCTCACACTCGGGGCAGGTCCCACCCCATGGATGGCCGTGTCCTGGTGGCGTTGGCCGTGTCTGGGTTGTGACAAAGGTCCCTGCTGTCCCCTGGGTCGCAGAGCACCAGTTCTACCACAAATGGGCCATCCTGTCCGACCCCGAGGACCTCACGGCCGGCCTCAAGGGCTACCTCAAGTGTGACATCGCCGTGGTGGGCAAAGGGGACAACATCAAGACCCCGCACAAGGCCAACGAGACTGAGGAGGACGACATCGAAGGGTAGGGATCTGCTGGGATCTGCTGGGATCCACCTCTTCCTGGATCCCTCGGGAATGGCTTTCCACCTCTCTTTACCTTGGATGGGATAACAGGATCCAAACCTGGGGCTGGTGGCAAACAGGGAGCCATGACAGCAGAGGGAGCGATCCGGTGCTTTTCCGAGAGGGAATGCGAGGTCCTGGTGCAATCCCAGGTGTTCTCCAGCCCAGAGTTGTCGTTCCTGTGGGGTCAGACCATCAGCTGGTGGTTGAACTCTACAGCAACGCCAGCCTGGTGTCACCCAGACTGATGTCCCCAGTCCTAAACTGGAGCTCCTGATGGGCCCTGGATGGGATTGGGGTGGGATGAGATTGGGATTTCATAACCCCAAGGCAGAGCAAGGAGGAAGTCGGGGTGAAATTTCCCAGGCTGTGTGTGAGGACAGGGCTCCCAAACTTCCCAGAACATCTCAAAGGTCATAGAACAAAAATCAGGAGCTTTAAGGCTTGGTTCCAGCCCCAGAACTTTTCCAACTAATTGAATATTTCCAGTTCAAATCCGTGTCTCAGGCTCTCCCCACATGGAATCATGGAAGGGTTTAGGTTGGAAAAGACCCCTGGGGTTGAGTCCAGCCATTAACAGTCAAAAAACACCAGCACAGCTCTCCCAATTTGCTGGGGTTTGAGGAATCACCTCCAGTACTTTGGGTTTAATTCCATGCTGTAGTGGTGATGTTCTCCTACTTATCCCTAAAAATCCTGGGATGGTTTGTTTTGGAAGGGATCTCCAAGATCACCTTGTTCCAACCCTCCTGCCACGGGCAGGGACATCTTCTACCAGACATGGACAGCTCCAGCAATTCCCAGAATTCCCCTAGAAATATTTTGTACACAGCATTCCCAGGGGCTCAGCTATTCCTGCAGAGGAGGAAAGCCACGTAGCCAAAAAAAAAAAAAAAATAGATGGAGTTTATTTCATCCCCAAAATAATCCTCCGAGCTCCCCTTGATAAGGAAAAAACAACTCTTCCAAAATCCCAATTAATTTAATTTCTGTGGGATGGAGTGGAAGTGGAAGGAGTCGGTGCTCGGAAAATGGAGCAGCTCCTCTTTGGTCTTGTACGGAATGACAAAGGTTGGGAAAGACCTCTGAGATCATCCCACCCAACCTTCAGCCTTCCCACCCAGCAGCCATTCCCAGCTCCACCCTCTGACATTCCAGGAACCTCCTGCTCCCGGACGGGGTCCCGCCGGAGCGGCAGTGGGCTCGGTTCTACATCAAGATCTACCGCGCCGAGGGGCTGCCGCGGATGAACACCAGCATCATGGCCAACGTCAAGAAGGCCCTCATCGGGGAGAACAAGGACCTGGTGGACCCCTACGTGCAGGTGGCCTTCGCAGGGCAGAAGGTGAGCGGGGAGGTGCCAGGGTGGTTGTTGGAACCCTGGAAGCTGAGTGTGAGGTCAAACCTCCCAGTGCTCTCAGGCTGTCGGGTTTTGTTTTCTTCAACGAGCCGAGCAGCTCAATGGTTGCTACAAAGTTGTTTCTTGCACAAGAGCATCAGTCTTAAAGCAAAAGTGACGGGTGCTAAAGTTCCCGCTAAGTTTTGGTGTAAAGTCCCAATTAGAAGTAGGAGCAAAGCAAAAGCAATGGCAAAAATCAAATGGCCAACATGAAATGGCAAAAATCAAACGGCCAACATGAAATGGCCAAAATCAAATGGCCAAAAGCCCATGGCAAAAAGCCA